GTCTATCGGCCACCCCCAACGCCTGCAGAGTCGGTATCTAACAACATTTCCCACCCCTGCCACCCTCAGTCCCTTTCCAGCCCACCACCAACCCCCCTCTGATCCCAACCAACCCAGCCCCTTCCCCTAGCCCCGATATCCCACCGGGCACGCAGCTGCCATCACCCCTTCCGCATCTCCAAGTTTCTGCACTAGCCAAGCCACCATCCCCAACCACTTTCCTCGTCGCTCCATCTAACTGTCGTCCGACAGCCCTCACCGATCGATTGAAGGATTGCAAATCGTCCGGTAGAAGAAAGGAGAAGAACACAAGGAAGAGTAGATCCAATCGTTCGATTAGCAACCAACGGCGGCGATAATGGCCTTAGCGGCGGCGATAATGGCCTTGGCATCAGCGATGTTATTGACCATCGATTGTGGTGTGGAGGATTTTCCTTTGGTTGCAGCAGACAAGGTACGAAGAAGAAGGAATGCTGCGGCAAAATTCTCTTTGGCTGCAACTGAGGGAGGCACGACGAAGAAGGAAAGAAGATTAGGGATTCGGGTTCTGTTTTGTATTTACGTGAGGGTGTATTTGTCCGTTCAGATTTAATTAACCTCTTTTTTGTCTAGATTAAGCGTTAGTCCTATTTTTGTCTAACGGAAGTCGAGTAGTATTATTCTTGCCATTATTTTATTTCTTAACAACATTATTGGAGTCTCAACCTAGAGTTTCATCTTAGATTTCAAAAAACTTGATATTCTTATGTAATTTACAAACTCATGTGGCAATGATTGAAATGCTTCTCTCTTGACCACATCCAAGAAAGTGTAATTGCGCATATAGGTTTGAAATGCTTCTCTCTTGACCACATCCAAGAAAGTGTAATTGCGCATATAGGTTTGAAATGCTTCTCTCTTGACCACATCCAAGAAAGTGTAATTGCGCATGCATATAGGTCTCACTTAGTTACATTTATACCTTGATGTGTCGTCAATGCCGCCCCTATTTCCTGATCCATTTGTTTCACAGATTCTATCATCCCTCCAAAGCCTATGACTCTATCTTGTCCCACTCTAAAATTGTTTTTCTCCCCATAGACATGATAGATTCTACATTGCCTTTATCTCTTCAATTCAAATATATGCATTTGTTGTCCTTTGTCGAGTACTATGGTTAAAATTAGTTACTTTCAAAGCTAGAAAGTGATAAAGTTCGAAGCTAAAAGTGCCTCAAAGTTCATAATACAATACTTTCAAGAAACGATATGGTAAATTTAAAATAATTGAAGTGGTAGAAATAATAAAATTATGAATTACCATGGAATCTCACACTTAAATTCGTAATGATATTTGGTTATATTTATTTTTCAGGTCAATGATGGTCAAGTTTGACTACTAATTTTTTTAATATGAAATTATGCAAAAATATAAAAATTGCAGGGACAATCATTTCCTGATAGGCTGCATTTGTAAAGCCTTCAATGGCCCACAAATCATATTTAAATACAATTTTTAGCATAAGATTTTGGACATTTAATTATAATAAATAGAGATAATTACCCTAGGTATGACTAAAACTCAAAGAGTTTCTCAATCTATGACCTAATCAGTTTTTTTCCTAAAATAATATTAAAATTCGAAATATTTAATTAAAATTCAAAATAATTAAATAATAAATAAATTTCAGGGACAAAAATACCCTTTAGGTTATACCTATAAAACCCTAATCTCCTACTCATTTTTTCTCACTTGTAGACGTTCACGATAAGTTGCGCCGCCCATCCACGCATCAGCCCCCGTCGAGACTCAGCCTGCCGTCTAGCCGCCGGCCTCCGTCTAGCGCTGCCGCCAGCCACGAATCTCTGGCTTGGGAGCACATACGCCGCCTTCCAAAGATAGATCGATGGCTTGGGATCACATTCGGCCGACCTAGATGCCAAGGAGTCGCTCGACGTCAATCCATCATCCTCTGTCGTTGAATCGGTGACTGGAAGGCGAGAGATGGCGCTCCAGTCTGTGTGTCAAGCAGCAACTTCGACCTTGGCAGCAAAGGAGCAGCGTTCATGGTGCGGAATACTTCGGAAGGAGTTGGCTTTGTGAGCAGGTTTAGAATCAATTTGGGATCTTCGGGAGTACGGCCAAAGCATTCCATCATATCTGCAAGTCTGGATGAGTGCCCCTTCATGATTTGTGGAAAACATAAGTTGATTTTTTTTTTGAAAGAGTTTTTTTTTAATTTAAAATAATTAATTGCTTTGTTGTTCGCAGAGTGTTTGCTGAAGCACGAATTAACCGCATTCTTCCTCTCATTTCTTGAATTTAGTCTTTTTAGACATGGGTAAGATGCATACGCAGTGAAACAGGCAGTAAACATAGGCAATAAATAGTGATGAAAATAGGCAATGGACATCAATACATAGTGATGTACATGGGCAGTGAATGAAAGCATTGAAAAAAGTGTTGTGCAATGAATTGAATGCAATAAAATTTGGTGGGAAGTGCATTGATTATGACCAATAGTGCAGTAACACAAAGCAGTAATATCTTCATGAAATGCAATATACTTAATTAGATATAAAATAATAAATTAATTAAATCTAAAAAATAAAAAATAAAAAATAAAAATAAATTACTCAATTAAATGAGAAGAAAATTAATTTTGGCGGAAGTGCATTGATTATTATCGAATGTGTATTAATGCCATGCAGTAACTTAATACAAAGTGCAGTAATTTTAATCGGACAAAATTATTGCAAAATGCAAATATTTTAAATAAGGGTATTTTCGTCATTTAATCTTTAAATATAAACGAAATTTCTAATTTTTTTTTATTTTTGGTCATACAAAGGTCTAAAAACTAGTTAGGTCATACATTGAGAAACTCATTGAATTTTGGTCATATCCTAGGAAATTTCCCTAATAAATAATGATGATGATGATGACGATGACGACCTAATTTAGTGGATATATATAAGTGACAAAAGTGATATTTAAAGTATGACCGTTTGAAACATGAAATCTTTTACACATTATAATTTGAAGGCTTAAGCAAGGTACAAATATGAGATAAGGGTGACCCACTGTGTAATAAAAAACCTGGAAAAAACCGTTCATAAAACGATTACTTTATAGGTGAAGAAGAATGTGATTACCACCAAAGTATGATTGTGTATTAGATATCTTACTGATAAGTCCATATTTCAACACCCATTGAATGTGTGTTGGGATTGACTTTTATCAATTTTCCTAACTTAAATGTGTCTCAAAGTACTTAATTAGATCAAGTAATCGTTTACCGGGTTTTGGTTTGTGTTTGGTTTTTAGTCTAGCTCCTACGTTATCTTGGAAGACTTTGAGACACATTGGAAAGTTCTTGACAAACATTGAAGGTTCACGGGGCATTAAAGGAATGATTTTGAAGTCAAGAGAGATCAATGATCAAATTAAATACAGCAACGAACGTGGACTCAGGGAGTATGAAAAAAGGCCATACGGACCACCACCCAACTCGCAACCTTGAATCCGGATGACGCACTATCAATCATTTGAGCATATCTTTTCTTAGAAAAGTCTAAATGAAACGATTACAAACCGGCCATATGAAAACACCATGACGAGAATGTGCGAGTATCAAAGTGAAAACAGGCAAGGAAGTCAAACAATCACTGTTGAGATTTTAGGATGCGACCTTCCACTATTTCATTTACGAAGTATATTTTTTGATTGGATGATCCAATTCCATATTTTCAAGTATTGGTGGATACTGGACATCATTAGCTACACCTTTGCTAAATAAAGCAATGCTAAATTCGGACAGGAGGTGTGCACGTCGTGCACACGAAACGAGCACGTCGTGGCGCATAATGATGCTCTTTGAAAGATGGGCATGGTCATGCACGCGATCGAGAACCACCAAATTTCACCTCCAAAGGCCCAATTTTGGCTCTTTTTCACTGTTTTCTATTTAAATAGCATGTGAACCCCAATTTGAGCTAGATTGAGCTAATAAGAGACAAGCCCCGTGACAAATTTCTTCTTGTATTTCAGCATTGGATCTTTCAAGATTATGGAATTATTTGTAAGTTCTTTTTTTTAACTAATGACAATTAGTTCTTTCCTTTTCAATTCTGCTGATCTTTCTATTATGAATTGTGAGTAGTTTTAATTAGGTATTTGAGATTGATGAAGGAATATTAATCATGATCTAGTGTTCCGTTCTTGAGGGTTTAAATGCATGATTATTGTTTAGTTTGTGTTGTATAATTTAATTGATATCTTTTGTAATCCGGAACGACTGCTAGGATTATAATTGCATACAGAATAATTTAAGGGAGATCTAAATTGCTCTACAAAACCTTCACCCACAATCATAATCGCTCACTAAGCGATTAGCACAACTAGGGAGCCATACGCTCGCTCGTTTTGGTAATACTTTAGAAACTTGTCATATGAGAGATCAACTTGGTTATCTAAATTTTGTACTCTTCGTCGTGAGACTGGCAAGAACTTAGTATTGACATGCATTGCTCAATTCAATAATTTTCATATAATTAAGCCTGATCTGACCCGAAATATGATTGCCCTAGAATTAATCCATGTTCCCTTCATGTCATGAATTTGAAAGAGCCTTATAATTTAGTCTTCTTTTCTGTCACTTTTAATTCCAAAAATTCATCTCGCGCACTCGCATTTAATTTATTTATTTTAATCGCTTTATTTATTTAATACTTAATTCCTTTTTTCGTTTCTGTGGAGATAATACTCGTACTTATACCCTATATTGCTACACATATTTTAACTGTGAGAAAACTCAAAATATCTAGAGTTTTTCTTTAAACTTAAGTACTTGACAATACCATCAATTGTTCTCATAAGTTTATGCCTCATTTGGTACCTCATTTTTACACCCTTCTTATATTTGTGGTTCACAAAAGTCCAACACATTAAATGAATTGCTCCATTTTGATGAATTGTTTTTGTGAACCACAAATATAGGGAGGGGTACAAAATGGGGTATAAATTGAAAGATGGCTTCGTTCACAGTGCCGTCTTCGGGTTCGTTATCTGAGGCTTTTCTCTGTGGCAGTTCCCGGACGTTGGTCCCCAAGCGAACCTTCTGTTTCCCTTTAAACGGAGTCGTAAGTATTTTTTTTGTTTTGTTTTTTATCATCTATTTTTCTTTTTATGTTTCTCTGCTGGTTGATTATCTGTTGGTGAAAGTTGGTGTACGACTTACATTTCTTTGCTAAATTGCAAAGAAAAAGTTTCATTTTTTTCTATTTATAGAAACTGTAGGTAGCTATATCACATTCCTTAGCCACGTTTAGGAATTAGGTTAGGTAATAAATTTCATAAACTTTTTCGTAAAATAAAATTTTCCACAAGGTTTTAAGGATTTTGTAAGTACTCAGTATATTTCAGTTTCTGAGTGTTTTTATAGATTGAGAAAGATATTAAGAGTATAATGCCTGAAGTGGTTTATTTTGTATTAAGTAGTTAATTATGTTTTTGTTTCATATCCTCACTCTTTATAGTGCAAAGTGTGTAAGTTGATTGCTGCTGATATGTTTTCCTTAAATGCTACCAGAAATGTGAGCTCACCTAACCAATAAATGGAATGCAAATTGTTCCAGTCCAAACCAACGGAGCACTTCCAAAGTTCTTACATTCAAGACGCCTAAAAAATGCTGTTAAAAGAGATGAAAATAGCCCAAAAATATTCTCTGGCCTTTCTAATCCAAACCTTTCTCAGGTATGTGTTTGTTTAACAAAAGTGATGGTTGCAGTGTTGTTGAAAAAGTGGAATACTGAAGAAAAAATGTTAAATCATGTTACATTATATGTTTATATGTTATTAGAACTCCTAGAGAATAACTGTGGAAAGTTTGTTAATTTATTGTCTCAAGATCACTTAAAGTGCTTCATGTCTTGCCTTATACCTTCAGATGTTATGATGTAATTGCTAAGGACTTTGTGCCTATGCTATTAGTGACATTGAGACTTTATCTCCACACTGGATAATAAGTACATTGAGCTTTTTTGAATTTTCTGTATTTTTCCATATAATGGTGAAATGGTCAGATATGAAATCTGGTGCTGCCTGAAAAGATTTTACTTGTAAACATTGATGAAGTTGCTGCTCCTCCTTAAATATATTTAGAGGAGTTATCCAGTAAGGATAATTCTGGATTCCTTTATTCAATAGAAGGAAATACAGATAAAGTATGTGAACAATATGAACAAATTCAGATTGTTATATGATTTATAAATAATAAAATAATATACTAGTCAATTGTACCCAGATGGCCATGCTGTAATTATAGGACCCAAAACTCCTTTTTTTGGTAAATCAAGTTGGAAATGTTTTCCTTGAATACCCAATACTTGTACTTGTTTGATGATGTGAAGATAAGGGACATCTTTACGCAATTATAGATCTTTGGAGGGAACTCTAAATGGTCAATAAAATTAGTATTATTGAAAGTTTTTTCTTATTGTACTTTCTGGCATTAGCCACTTTATAAAAGGTGAAATGGTCAAGGAGGTTTTGTGCTCCATGTCCCGTATACCTAAGTTTTTTGCTACATTAAAGAAATATTTTCATTATATTGTGATCAATGTTTCTTAGCTCTTTATATTTAGCATTTTAATTAAATAGACTAGCTAGAATAATGAATAGGCCTTTTAAGGCAATTTGTAATAAAAGGTTTTATACCTTTTTAGGTATGGGCCTCCTAGAAAAAGGAGCCCAAATAATTGTGAAACCTACCTTTCCCGTCAGGCTATATATATGCCTTAAGGGAAAGGCTAGGTTAAGCTTTTCGAAACATTCCTAGTGCCGCAGTGCCTATTTGCGTGTAAGGTTTTTACGCTTAGACATTCATATCATTCTGTAAAACCTTCACATCAATGGAAAGCTTCAAACACAGATCTATCTTCCATACATACACATTCTAGACTAGAAAAACAGGGACCTAACATCTGGTATCAGAGCCGGAGCTGATCGATCGATTGAAGGCTGAAAATCACTCCTGCGCGATTCTTCATCGTTGAAGTTTCGCACTTGAGCGATCTTCTGTTCTATTTTTATTGTTGTTTTTGCAGGAAAATGGTTGAAGGAAAGTGTTTCTAGGCTTGCTGGGATCACTTCTGTGAAAAATCTCGATCTGCAATCTGGCGTACAGGTTAAGCCAGATTTGAGCGATCCTGCAGTTTAGCGCAACACGTCTGGAAGAAGAAGAAAAGGTTGAGCGATTCTCCTGCGCGATTTCGAGTTTCGCGCAATACATCCTGCGCGATACTTGGACTTGCGCCATCCTCATTTGACTGCTGCGCGATTTTGCACTTCGCTCGACGTCTTCTGCGCGATCTTCACTTCGCGCAAGTATACCTGCGCAATCGTTGATTTGCGCATTTTGGACTCGCCCGATTTGAGAAGTTGCCCCATTTTGGACTTGAGCAATTTTTATAGGTTGAGAGATTTGTAGTTGAGCAATCTTACACTTGAGCGATCTTTTAGTAAGTTGAGCGATCTTTCTAAGAGTTGAGCAATCTTTGTAAAAGTTGAGCGATCTTTATAAAGTTGAGCGATCTTTGTAAACTTGAGCTATTTTTTTAAGTTGAGAGATCTTTTTGTAAAGTTGAGAGATTGTTTGTAGAGTTGAGCGATCTTTTATTGAGAGTTGAGCGATCCTCCAACACCTTGCCCGATTTAGACACTTTGCAACAAAGACATCTGACTGAAGACTCAAACTACAGAACAGAACCTATTCAATCAATTGATCAACCCGATCATTTAAAATGGATGCTTTGTCGATTGGAAACGACACTAGACCCCCGATTCTACGAAGAGGAGAGTACAATGTGTGGAAGAACCGATTTCTGAACTTTCTGGAGAGCAAGGACCAATCCTCAGGTCTTCTTGACTCTATCACAAATGGACCTGCTCAATTGATGATAGCTGTTGAGAGAGACAACGGGAACAACCCACCTGTTGAGATAGAATGGAGACCAAAGACTGTCGATGAGTATGATGATGAGGATAGAGCAAGACTCCGTGCAGATCTCATTGCCAAGACCTATCTGTTACAGGCCATCCCGAACGACATCTACATGCAGATTGACAGCATGTCAACTGCAAAAGAGATGTGGGATGAGATCTTTAAGATCATGCAAGGCACGGAGATTGGAGCTGAGTAAAAGCGAAGAAAGCTAGCACATTCACTGCTTATGACTCATTCAAAGCCAAGCTTGGAGAATCACTCGAAGACACCTACCTGAGATTTCTGCAATTGATAAATGAGATGAGAAAGATTGGTGTGCATAAGTCCAATATGGAACTAAACGTGAGATTTCTATCTTCTCTTGGAGCTGTCTGGAAGAAGCTGAGTTCACAGATAAGGCACACAAAGGATCTGGATGAGATGGATATTCATGCAGTGTACAACACACTTGACCAATACGCTGAAGACTTCTCTGACTTTGTGGTTGCCACTGTGACAGCTGATAAAGGGAAGGGAGCTATGGACAAGCTAGCTGACACCCTTGCCCTGATGCTTGACAAGCCTTCAAAGTCTGGTTCCAAGAAAGATAAGATGATAGCTGATGAAAGTGAAAGTGCTGAGAGTGACATCGGATTTTGGGATGATTCTGATGATGATGAGCTTCGTGACTTCCAGAAGCAGATAGCCCTTCTTACCTCCAGGTTCAACAATCAAATGCAGAAAAAGAAGAACTCCTCAAACAACCGGCTCCGCAAGTCCTCTTCCAGCAACAACAAAAGAAAAGAGCGATCTTTTGAATCGTCTGAGAATATTATTACTGAGGATGCTCCAAAGTGCTTCAATTGTGGGAAGACTGGACATCTGATGAAGGACTGCAGAATGCCAAAGAGGAGGAAGGATGCTGAATACTATAAGCAGAAGATGAATCTAAACAAGAAGAAGATGTTGCTGGCAATGGAAGAAAGTACTGAGAAGAGTGCCCTCATGGCTGAAAAGGACCACTGGATGGATGATTCTGATGAGGAAGAGAATCTGGCCTTGATGGCAATTGTTGAAGAAGAAGAGAAAGAGAAGGATGCTGAGAAGGTAGGAAAGATGAAGTCAACCCCTGCTGCTGATGAAAAGGAGAAAGACAAAGCTGAGGAGAAGAAGAACTTGCCTACTGCAACCAATGCTGATGTAGCGACTGCCCTGACTGCTGAAAACAGAAATGCTGACAATGAAGTAAGTACCTCTAATCCATCTATTCATAACTGCTCTAGAACAGATATGCATGATAAATTTAAGGAGCTAGAGGTGAATTACAAAAGGTTGTATGATGTATATAATCAACTGCGTGAAAAACAGACATGCTCAAACATTAAGATAATCAATTCAGAGAAAACAATCACTAAGCTCACAACTGAGAATAAGCGACTTAGTGCTAGTGAGAAAGAGTTGACAGAGAAGCTTAGAACAACTGAAAAAGAAAGAATTAGGCTTTTTGGTGTCAATAATTTGCTAATGGAAAGAAGGGGTGCTCTTTATACTAAAATCAAAGAACTTGAGGATCTGTTAGCCAAAAGGGACCAAACAGATCAGACTATTTTCCTTAACCAGCCTAAGGACACTCGTTTCTATAACGCCAAAGAAGGCTTGGGTTTGACCAATCCTCAGAACCTGAAAAAGGTCAACTATAGACAACTCTATGATGTTAGATACATGAAAATAGGATTGACCAAACTCATGGCCTTCACTGGTACTGAAGAAACGAATGCCCTTGAGGATGAAAAGAGAAAGACTAAGGCTGGTGTCGAGGTTCCTTTTGACTACACAGAATTAAACAAGAGCTACAAAACCAAAGCACTCCCTTTGACCCCAGCTGAAGAAATCTTGACCTATCCTCCTGAAAAGGAAGCTGTGAAAGACGGAGAGGAGGCTTCCACATCTGAACCAATTGAGAAACCAGCTTACATTCCACCATTGGTGAGAAAGTTTGCTGAGTTAAAAGATTCGTTTGAAAAGGAAAAGCAGGTTTTAGAAAAAGAAAAGGATGAACTTTTAAAAGAAATAACCTCTTTGAAAACCGCCTCTCAGTCTAACACAGCTTCTCAACCCTCTTCCCCTTCTTGTTCTAAAAACACTTCTGAAAATTCAAGCGATAGTTTTAAGACTTCTTCTTCTCATCCCAAGTCTCATTCTCCGACAGGGAAACATGTGAAGAAGAGAGTCGAGAAGAAAGGAGAGTGGATTGAAGACAAAATAAGAAGGAAGAAGAGAGAAGAAGAGTCGAGATTAAGAAATAAGTGTCAGCGGTCGAGCGCCATATTTTATGTTAAGAATAAGTCTAGCTCTAGCATTAGTGAGCCATCTACTAGTTATGCTAAGAGAGTGGCTCCTAAGTCTTCTAGTTCTAAGATTTCTGTCTCGAATCGCTGTACTAAATGTGTTTCTCTGAATTGCATTAAATCAATGAAATGTTGTTGTTTTGAGTCTGTTTCTTCTCGCAAACCAAATGATCCTGTGATTGTTGATAATGTTGTGAATAAGCCCAAGATTGATAGGGTGAATGTTGAGAGTGAGGTCAAATTGCCATTTTTAAGGTATCCTCTCAAGATTCACTCAGTCAAACATCTGAGAAGGCTATCACATGAACCAATCTTGAAAGACCACTTATCTGAACAATCACTCAGGACAAATGAAAGTTCCCTCGCTCCAAAAATCAATCAAATAAAACAAAAATGGGTTCCTAAGGCTGAAGCAGAACAAT